CTGGGAGAGCAGCTGGGCTAAGTGCCTGGCCTCAGCCTCCTCCCTCCCTGCCCTCTGGCCTGCATGTCCCCCCCGTAGGCCCAGTTGTGACTTTAGTGTATGCTGTTCTTTCCATGCCAATCCTGATAGTGCAGGGCTCTGGAGCAGGGGCTCTGAATAAGCTGATGGCCATATGCTATCAAGAGGCTGTAAGTGTGTGCCCTAATAGATTCATCTTTTGAGAACAGATTCATATTCTCAAAAGACAAGAAAGACCAGTATTATCTCTTGGGTGCATTCCGCCATCAGTTATACACCTAATGCAGATAATCTAATTACATCCCATTACATGCCACCTTATTCCAGTTCCACAACTTGTGTATACTGCCTCTGATACTGGAGGTAGCAATTGGCCCTCAGGAGGACTAGGAGTTACCAGGTTTAGTAGGTATTGATAGCCGTATCCTTCCATGAATTTGTCCAATTGCTTTTTAAAGCCATTTAAATTAGCAACTGTTATTAATCCTGTGAAAGTGAATTCTATAGCTTAATTATGTGTTCCGTGAAGTACTTCCTTGTATATGGACCAAACCTCCCACCAATCAGCTCTGTGGGATCACCCTACTGGGTTCTAGTATGTGAGAAATGGCAAAAAAACAAAGGCTTTATTCTTAATTCTCTTCCAAGCCAACAGATTCATGCAAGATACCTATTAACAGTTACTGTGATAAAGCAAGAACATTGGTAGTTGCATTATGGTGCGGCTGCTTGAAACTTCACATATAAGCCTTCAAATGAGAGGGGCAAGAGTGCTGAAAATGTTTCATTATCCACTTTCTCTGCACTATACATAATTGTGTATTCCTTAATCATGTTTCTCCTTTCTTAATTTTAACTAGGAAAACTGTACTAACAAAACTGATGTCTTGTGATGGCTGCTGCCAACTAGAACATCCAGTGTAGGGCAAGATGAATATGGGTCTGCCATGGAACAAATGTAGAAATCAACCCTAAGCTGCTTAGACTAGTGAGGCAAATTGAACCTTTGGACATCTTTATCCCACTTCCTGGGAACTGGCAATAACCAAATTCATTATATCATACCTACTACTATTCTATTTAAGTTTGCTATTTCAGAAAAAAATACAAAACATCAATCCATAATATACTGATTGTTACAGAATTTTATGAAACAAAAATTGTATAGCTGATATTGCTGTTATGTGCAGTCAATCTTCAACCTATGCTGACACTATGGATGAAAGCTGTCTTAAATGTCCTGTCCATGACAGCTCTATTCAGCAATTCCTAATTATTCTATGTTCATTTTTTCTTAAAAATGCACTCTTAAGAGGGTAAAAGACAGATACAATCTCTTGTTACTTCCTGTTGGTGGTGGCAGTATCATTTTGGAAGGATGCTTCTCCTTAGCAGGGACTGGGAAACCAGTTAAGACTGAGGCAAGATGCACAGGACCAAGCACAGAGAAATTCTAGAAGAAAACCTATTTAAGTGTGCAAGGGACCTGGGCTGTTCACCTTCCAGCGGGACAATGACCATGCACGCAACACAAATCCAAAGTAACACTGCAGTGGCTTAGAAACATGAACCTAAATGTCTTAGAAAGTTCAGACTTTTCAACTGAGAACCTGTGGCAAGACTTGGAAGTTGCTGTTCACCAATGGAGCAGTTTTGTCAGGAAGAACAGGAAAACATGGTAGGATCCAAATGCACAAAGCTGACAGAGACTTACCCAACAATGATCACAGCTATAATTGCAGCCAAAGGTACTTCTATAAAGCATTGAATCGGGGGAGGGGGATACCTATGCAAGCAACAATTGCCAGTTTTTTGTTTTGTTTCCTTAACTTTTATGCCATAATAAAAATATTTTACACCTACACAGTGTTGTGTATCTCATGTACATCAAGTGGAAACAATGCCAATTAAATTCCTTTCAATTCCAGGTAATAACCCAACAAAATATGGAAAAGTCAGAGGGTGGGAGGTTACTTCTGCAAGGAAATGTAAACACAACACAGAAACAATGCAAGACTTAATGAAAAGTTATCAGGGCTTTTGCGGCTTTAAAAAAGGGAGTAGGCAAACATATGGAGTATAAAGCTACCTATGTGGGTGCTATCAGTCATGACACGTATAACATCTAGCATGAGGCAACAGGACTCCAAATAGCAGCTACTGGGAAATACAAATGGGTGGATGCTCTTGTGTGCATGTTCTGCGTGTGGTTCCCATAAGTACTATGTGAACAGAACACTAGGCCAGGTCTTTGGCCTGATCCAGCATGATTTTTCTTATGCTCCCATGATCCACTAGTACTTTTTCTGCTTTGAAAAAGTCCCTCCTCAGCAAAGGTCTGCAATCTGTAAGAGGCCAGGTCCCCTTATAGAGCAGTAAATTACTAAGGAAGGCCTGCCTCCCCCTTCTTGGAGAGAAGAACAAATGGAACATTCTCATAATGAAAGGATGTATAAAATGAAGTTTCCAGGGATCTGCATTGGGACTGGGGCTTTTTAACTTCTTTTAATTTCTTTATAAACCATCTGAAGTTAGCAATGAGTAGAGAATGTTTTGCAGAAGACACTCAAGTATGCAGGGTGATACAAATAAAAGTGGTTGAGGAGAGCTCCAAAAGGATTGCTCCAAACCGGGAGAATGCATTAAAATGGCAAATGTGGTTCAATGTAAACAAGTGTAAAGTGTTGCACAATGGGAGAAAACATTGTAACTTCACGTATACACTATGTTGTGACTGACCAGGAAAGAGTACTTGAGGTTGTGAAATGAAAGCACTAACCAAGTGTGTGACACCTGTAAAAATGGGAAAATCCAAAAATGTAATCAAAAATAAAACTGCCTAGAACATTACAACATTTGTATAAATCTGTGGTGTGACCACACTTGGAATAATGAGTACAGTTCCAGTTATTGCATCTCAGAAAGGATATTGCATAGCTGGGAAAATGTTCAGAAAAAAATCCTAATTACCAAGGAGCTGCACCAACAGTTGCAGAGAAAGAACAATTGTAAAGGACAGTTACCATCTTTGGGACTTTTCTTAGCTTAGAAAAATGCAAAGTGGAACATGACAGAGATGTATAAAACAGAGATGCCACATGGCCTGGAAAAAATGTATGGGGAGAGGGTTTTCTCCTTTCTCATAACTCCAGAGCCCAGGTCATCAAATTGAGCTAAATGGTGGGAGGTCCATGACAGGGAAGAGAAAGTACTTCTTCATATAATCATATATTTTAACTATGGGATTCACTACTACAAGATGTAGTGACAATTATCAAGTTAGATGGCTTTGAAAGGGAATTAGACAAATTCATTAAGAGTAAGGTTGTCAATGGCTACTGTTTATGATGACTATATGCCAGAGGTGGAAAACACTTCAGTGGCTGAATTTAGTTGTGCCATGAACAAAATATAAAACAGGGCCAAAAAACCTAAAACACTCACATAGTTTAATTTAAAGGGTTTTTTTGCCAGTGAATTAGGAGAGGAATTTCAATAGTTCAGAATGCAGAAAAATGTGCAAAACTTGGAAAGGAGTCATGTCATCTGGAGTATCTTGGAAGGACAGATTGGAATTCCAAGAGGACCAAATTTCTCGAGGATCTGCAGTTCCCTATCCTTGCTATATACTACCCAAGAATCAGAGGTAGCATTGCCTCTAAACACAGGTTGCTAAGATCCTGCTGTCCATAAGCCCTGCTTTTGGGCTTCTCTGGCTGGTCAATGTGAGGAACAGGATGCTGAGCAGGACAGATCAGACTTGTCATGCTCTCAGTCCTTGCTTCTAGTTTAATAATCAAAGAGAAACACTTGAACCACCATGCCAGATTTCAGAAGAAGGAACAAATTTCTGTAAGGTCAAAGGGCCTGATTTCAATGGCATTCAAAGTTTAATAAAGCAACAGCAGATTTTAAGAGCCTCTGTTGTGATTTTCTTTGTGATGCTTTATAACACAATGATACCAATATTATTAACACAGGGCAGTCATCTTTCAACACCTCCCCCCCCCTGAATAAAGAAATATCTACACGAATTGCAATGTGAATTGAATTGAATTCAATTAAAAATAAATAATTAAAACCTTAATCCCTGATTAAAAGAATTAGCTGAACAGGTGATTGGCCTGTTATTCCATAAGCAAAACATGAGGTTTAAGCTTTTCTATCTGGAATGGTTGCAGCTGACAGCAAGACACAGTGGGCAAGAGTCCTTGGTGGCAAGCAGTCTACCAAGGCAAAATTGGTAGATCAAATAACCTGAAGGATGGATCTGCTGGCATAGAAGAGACAATGACTTCCAGTAGATGGACCCCAGAAATCTTGTATGTAACGGGATGTTGGAAAGTCAGACAAGTTTCATCCTCCTTCCCAACAGGGGTTTGGTCTTACTTGGCACTTTAGAAACCCAAGTGAGTTTGGAAAGCGGGACAGGCTAGAAAAGTCCTTTCGCCCTTTTGTTTACACTGGACCCTACAGCAGGTCATGAAACAAGGATTGTAAACTTCCTTTCCTAAAAGGATTGAAACATTTGTTTAAAATATGATAATAGAACTCTGTACTGTAACCTGTATACCCTACATTGTGTTACTGGTGCTTTTTACCAATGACATTTTCATATATTTTATTTTTATTTAAAGCTTTTATATCCCTCTCTTCAGTGTCTCAGACTACTGAGACTATTGCATATTCTTGCATTTCTGATAAAAAGATCAGTCTTACAGACTAAGGTATTGAATGGGGGGTACTTTCTTGCAATAAACAGAAGAGGGTAGGAGATTCTAATTGTATAGCTACAAGTTGATACAAACAGAACTTTGAACTCCAAATGGAGGCATATCTGAAATGATGTCTGCCCTGGTTTTAGAATTGCCCAGTGAACTTTGATACTTTTTCTTTAAATGCTAATGTATGGGAAATGTTGAACAACAGAGAAAGAACAAAAAAACCACCACCACAACAAACACAACAGAATTCTAAGGTGAAATAATGAACGACTATGAAAAAGTTATCAGGATTCTTTTTCTTAAAAGCATATGACAAAGTTATCCCTCAAGATGCATCTGTTTATAGTAAGCATCATTTTTTGCCAATTTAAACATGTATGTGCATGTTTCCTACTGTAGTTGCTAGATCACAATCTGGAGCTTCTGTCTATTCCTTCAGTGTTCCGAAGCAGCAGTGGGGATTGTAGCCACTGCATCTTCAGCCCGTCCTCCAATGGTTCCTTGGCTCCTCCACTCTCCCTACAGCTACCCTGGCACAGTCAAACCCAAACTGTGCTTGCTGCAATAGGCAGCAGGAGGAGATGAGCCATGAGACCAACAGGAGCATGAAGCACAGCAGCTAGAATTGTTGGTGCTTCCGGGTATTTAAGCAAACAAGCATAATCTCTGGTTTGCAATCTAGCAACCCTAGCCTAGAAACAAAAACAGCAACCATGAGAGAGCTCTTTGTACATCCATCATAAAAATGGGCCTCTTATTTTATGAGAATAACCCACGTTTTTATGGTATTTTCAATGTGGTTCAAACTGAGCACACTCATTCAAGACAAAGTCCTCCACAAACCCAAATATAGATAATTTCTCCCCTAATTCCTTGCAGTGTGTTTAGACAGCACTTTGATTCTTGGGAAAAAAATACAATAAAGGAAAAGAGAATCAACTACACAGAGTTCATCTCTTGCTCAATTTAAGGATCAAATTGTACTATTTTAAATTATTTTACTACACAGCCTCGTTAAGCCTAAAATGGGGTAGAAGATGTCAAAAGTAAAGGACCTTTCAATCAGCTTGTTACTATAAAACAATTTAGCTGTTTCCCCAATTTATATTATTGTTTCTTTCTACCTTATATCTCCCTCCCCACATGCCTTTTTCCGTTAATGATGTTTTAAATTGTGCCTTCTTTAGGGTCCTTCCTGTGTACCTAATATACCCTACAGTGAACCCTATGGTCTTGGAACCCCACTTCTGAAGTAGGAAACAGTGCTCCAACCTCCTTCGCACCCTCACCAAAGCACACTTTCTTGACTGAAAAGCCCATCTAGAGAAAAAAAAGAAGAGCCAAGGATGGCCTCTAGTAGTCCCACCCTGCCAGCTTCAAAGATCCCTGCACAAAGGAATACCATGAGAATGTGTGCATGCACTTGCCTGTAAGATGGTCAACACTATTTTTTCTGACTCTCAGAGCTGAGAGGAGCACAGTTCCATCCCAGTGCAGGACTGGGTGTGTCCAAGATAACTGTGGCAATTGTGTATGCATGTATAGTTACAATTGAATTAAGGCAACCATGCAGACTGGCTAACTTGTGGGATGCAGGATTCTAGCCATAGGGACACATACATTCCATACATATATAGTTCTCAATCTGTGAAGGAACTGTTTTCCACATACCAATCAAATTTCACACATCAGAGAATTCATATTCTTTCACTCCCTTGAAATCAAATAGAACAGGGTACACCTAGCTTCCTCCAGATTCTACACAGAATTTGTTAAAACGCTTCATCACAAATTTGAAAATTCTATTTTACACTGCAATTCATCATTTAAACTGCACTTTCAGCATTGTGTACTTAAGGATCACAGTATTCCTGAAGACTTCTTTTTTTACTGCGTTGCTATACTAAGTATTTTGTTTATTCCATCTGGCTGTAAGTTTATTAGAATTTGTAAAGGGGTGAGGGGGAGATGAGATCAAACTTACCTAGCTGGTACTTTGAGTAACAACTTGATACTTGGCCAGCACTGCATAATCGTCTCTTATTCTTTTTTCTAATATCCAGGTCAGTGAGCTTGCATTGTGTCCTCCTCCTTTTATTAATTTTTTTAGGAACCTCAGTAGGGCCATCATCAAAGGTGACTCGTTTGCTTGATTTCTTGCTGTTTTGTTCAAGATGCAGCCCTTTAACAAAGCTGGAATGTTTACCTCCTTTAGATGGTTCAGCATCCTTTTCACACCTGTCAGGTATGGTTTGCTTTGCAGAATGGGACCTCAAAGTACAATGCCCTTTTTCCTGAAAGTAGCTTTGACTGGTACTATGATCAATGGATTCTGGAGTGCAAACAGCAAGGTTTTTATTAAAAGAATGTTGCTCTTCAACAGGATTGATTTTCTTCAAAAATATTCTACAATCCTTAAAGGTTTTGCCTTTCCAAGTCCCTTCACCAAGTTCACCAGGGGACTGTGCTTTCCCAGTCTTTTGCTGGTTATAATACGCTGATTGTGTGCTTGGCCTATAATTACTTATTAAGCCAGGTTTTGTACTGAGGTCAGACAATTGTGTTTTTTGTTGAAAGAATGTATCTCTGATTTCATTTTCAGTTGATGAAGTGATTCTATGAGATTCTATCAAAATTGTGGGTGACTGAATTTCTACTGCAGTATTCCCATGGTTCATGCACATTTTGCTGTCAATTTTCCTTTTTGTATTAGTCAAACATTGGCTTTGGCAGAAGAATCGCAAATTTCTTTTTTTGGACTTCCAGTCACTTGTTCCATGATTGTACAATTTTTTGATTTGTCTCCACCGATCATGCTGCAAATTCTCAAATTTGGTTCTTTGTAATTTAGCTAATGTGAAGTTACGTTTCCTGTTTAAGACATGAGACCTGACTATTTTATGTAGCATTTGTAACTTTCCTGCTGATTTTGAAGGTGTGGATAGTGCAAATTTTTTAAAGTGCTTTCTCAAAGGACTAGTATTACAATCATATTGTCTTGCTCCCATTTTAAATTGCCTTGTACTAATTACTTCAAAGGGATTTCGAGCATTTGCTTTTCGCACTAATGAAAGTGACTGTGTTTCTGTTGTTTGCATAAACCATGTGCACAGTTCATCTATATTGCATTTTTTCTGGAAAAGCATTTTTATAGGGGAATTTTCAAGCTGTAAAAAGCAAGAGTCCAAAGGGTTTGATACTTTCACACTACAGTCTTGTTCCATATTGTCATACAGACATTTTCCAAATTCTTCTCCATTCACATGCAACCAAGTATTTGTTATCTGGTCATATCTACTGTTAAGTTCTTGTAACAATGAATCATTTGAAATGGAAGGATCCCACCACCTAAGGGAAGAATTGGATGAAATTATGGGATCTGATGACATTTCACTAATGGACTTGAATGTATTATTCTCATAATATTTCTTTGCATTTTCTGGATTCCTTTTTACTGAGGTATGTTTGGATGTCAGATTGGAGTGATTCTTAATTTTTTGATCTTTAGCACTTTTCAAACAAAGTTTATATGATTTATGTAGAAAGGCACGTCTACAAGATAATGGGTTAGAAGATGCCAAAGAATGTAAGAAAGGCAGTGATGGTCTTCTGTCTCTAAGAGATTGCCTCAAAGGGATTTCAGGCTTTTTGGAGGGTACTGCAACCTTCTCATGTGACAAATCCTCACTTGCATCATTCCAAAAGCTTTTTGAAACACCCTGATTGCACTGCTTATCATCCTTCTTAGATGATGGATTTTTTTCTAACACAGTCTCTTGTTCTAAAGGAGGCAGACAGCTGTTAATACTTACTTTTCTTTCCTGAGATGAAATCTGATTAACAGTCACAGATATGCCAGATATTTTCACTTTTGCTGGTCTCCCAGGTTTTCTAACTATATTTAAAGGCTTTTGATTTGGTCTTATGATATTGCTGCAATGGGATGGTAGTACTGGGCTGCTCTCCAGAGGTCTAACATGCTCATAACCAGATCCGGAGATCTCTTTTCTTGTAGAATTGTGCACACTTTTTATTTTTGGCAAATCATTCTTGTTTTCTGAGTTCTGTCTCACTTGAGCAGATTCACATATAGCATCACAATCACTGTGAGCACCTGGTACCACACTACCTACATTTAGGCTACCTTCAGAAACACACCTCTTGGTCCTTCGTGATCTTCCAAAGACAACTGTCACAGTAATATTTTTGTTAATGTTATCCTCCTTTAGAATTTCTGAATTACAGCTGGCATTTTTCCTAGCACTAATAGATTCACTCATATGACTGACATTTTCAGAAATATCTACTTTAGGCTTTGGTGGTCGCCCAATTGGCCGCTTAACCTGTTTCACAACTTGAGGACCTATTTTTTTGGGCCGGCCAGGTTTTCTTTTTAGGGAGGATCCATTGCTACTTTGATCTACATGTTCATTTGGCTTACATTCATCAACATTTGTTTCATTAGCAACTATTGCAGGAAAGACAGAATTTACATCCTGTTTTAGAGTATTTTCACTACAGAGACATTCATCAATAGAAACATTTTTAGCAGGATCTCTTCCTTCCAACTGGTTTTCTGACAGGAGACTTGTTTTCCCCTCAGCAGAAAAAAGATCAATGTTTAACTTAGAAGAATCTTTTACAGAGGTTAGTGTATATTTGACTCCTTCACTGCTGTTAATCTCTGAAAGGAACATAAGCTTTATTGGACTAGTGTAAGTTAGCATTGGTGAATTATCACCAGGATCAGAATTTGTTTGCAAGTCCTTATGATTGGAAATCAATACATCTGAATCAAAGTTTGGGGAATTCAAAAGGCTTTTATACGGTTCACCTGATACATCTTTTTTCAAAACACATTCCTTTTTGCTATTATTGCTAAATGGCTCATGACCTTTTGATAATACATATTGTCCTTTACTTCCAGTTTCATTCATGTTAATGAGAAGGCCACTTTTAGATTTAGCATCACAGCTATGAAGGTCTTTCAACTTGCTGGATATTTTATAACCATTAAACAATGTTGTTTTAGTCTTTTGGGCCATGTTTATTGTATCTTCCAAACGCTCTACAACAACATGAAGATTTGTGTTTCGTACTATCTTATTTATATCTTCATTGCTACATGTTTTGGGCTGAAAATCTTTAGGCATTTTATCTCCTTCTATACAGAGAGGAAGTTTTATCTTTGAGGATTTTTGAAACAAAAAATTGTTTGTTACGTATACTGAGCACCACATAGGTGGAATAATATTATGTTTAGTCCTATCTGTTATCTTGTCATGATCTGCCTTTACAGGGACCGGATCCATACATAATTCAACTCCACAGCTTCCATGTAGTTTAGCCAAGTTAGCTTGGGATGCTGAATTATTTTCTGAAAATTTCATAAAACCAGAATTAGTTTCTGAATTATTCAGAGGTAGTTCTAGTGACGCTTCCTGATATATTGGCGAAGAATGTGAGTTTGTTTGAGAAAACAGGCTCTCTTTATTTTCATTATTTTGTAAGGCAAGATCTTTTAATGTCATAAGATTGTCAATTTTGTTCACTGATAGTTTGTCGCTCTTTGTAGGCTTCTTTGTAATTCTCTCTGAACTTGCTTTTTTTCTTATGAAGCTTTCATCAAGACTAGCTAGTTCCCTCTTGATTTGCAAAGACTGTCGCCTAAACAGAGATGAATCAGGTGAATTATGCATTGCAAATAAGGTTTCTTGCCGTTTGCGAAATCTTGTTTGGATAATTTTATTTTCCACTTCTTTGTCATACTGGTTCAATAATTCCATAAAATTGTAATCATTTACTTTAGCATCGTGTAAGAGAGATGTTATGAAGCTCCGTAATTTAATATCATCTGATCTCCCATCACTTTTAGATAATTTTGTAGGATTTACCATTTCAGTGGTTTCTATTGATTTTAATTTCTCGTTGATTCGATCCATTAAATCCTGAAATGCACTAGCATTTTCAGCTTTTTCAAGTTTATCGGAATTTATAAGGCTATTTACTTGATTTGCACTTTGAAAGGTTTCATCCAAGTTGCCAGATACTTCTTTGATACATACTTTATATTTCTGTTCACACACTGAACAAGCCTTTTCAGCTGGCAAGAGAGATGGAGGCTTACTATTCATTTCAAGTCTTTTATCTAAAGCCAGAGAACCTTCAACCAATTCCTCCAAAGAATCATATTCATCAGCTTCCACAGGAGATAATGGAGGTGGTGAAGGGCTGCGTCCTCTGCAAGCTTTGTTATTCTTCTGCCCAGTTGAAAAGAGATGTGTACACAGTTGTAATTGCTTCATGCAGCATCCATGAGAACTACAAGGCACAGGATTCCCTTTGTTTACCACAGGGTTAAAATATCCAACAGCCACAGACTGGCATGACAAACAATCCTTATTTTTCCCATAGGCTGGTAGAGGTGGTAAACAAGTATTTGGTCTTTGATTTTGTAAACAGCATCTTTTCATTACCATGTGGACATCACAACTGCAGAATGGAATGTGCCCATCATCTTCAGATGTTTCAGAATACACAGTACTCAGCAACTGGCAATTGCAAACTGCATGAATATACTGATCTTGGATCAAAAATTTCAACATAGCTAAAATCTGATGGCAATGATACAAGCATAATGATGCCAAAACCTTGCTTAAAGCAGAGTTTCCTCTTTCGAATTTAGGTGTTTCCTCTGATTTTTCACCAGCTGTTGTACTTGAACTGAAAACAAAAAGCAGATCAAAACAAAACGTAAATTACAGTTAAATATGGCTCAATATGACTGAAGGCTATTTATGCTAAGGTGTCAAAATTATATCTCATTATTAAAATGTCAACTTCTGCTGAGGTTTTGTATATGCAATATACAGAAATAATATAAAAATCAGGTATTTTGCTAATGTTAAGCAAACAGAAAATATTGGTAGGATAAGTTTTTTGATATAAAATATGCATTTAATTGCACCTCATTTAACAGTCTAGAACTACAGAAATAATAAATTTTGTATTACCCAAGGGTCATATTTTAATTGACATAATAGACACATTATGTTTATGATCCCAAATATATCTTAAATATGTGTACAGTTTTTTGAAATCAATAGCACTTCAAGTTATTTTGCACCTGGCAATTTTTTCTTACTAGGAAATTGCATGTACCTTAAATGTACCTTTTGTCAAGAGATTTACCCAACACAGCAAAAAAAACACAATTTATTTATGGCTTCCCACTACAAATACATGCAGCAAAATGTACACATCTTGCATTTATTGGACATGACAATGTACATGATCAAATGGAACGGGAGAACATTTAAACTTACCAAATGGAATACAGAGAGGGAATTTCAGGATGTTGAAGAAATACGTAGTGCTAGTTCAAGGAGTACTCCTTAGAATAAAATTACATATATTTTCATAATCCTGATACATCTCTGTATTCCATGTGACCCTGTATATTTAAGGTACATGCAAGTAAATAAGAGTTATATGTTGTAGAAATTAGTCATCTGTAAAGCCATTCCATTTTTGAAGCAAATGTGAATCAAATCAATGTTAAATCTAATTTTGAAGAATCAGAAATGCAATCTTTTATCAAAAATATTATAATTATACTCATAATAATGTGCTCTATGAATTTTGAAAGCATGTTTGAAAGGATGCTGTGTAGTATTTTCATATTTTCTTTACAAAGCAATCAACTGCAGATAGCATTGTGAAAAGATTCTTTTCTTTTTAAATCTGCACCAAAAGCAGAAATTTGTGTCCTACGCACTTTAATTCATCCTTTACAAATAAAGTTTTAAATGAAGGACTTTGCCATTAAAGGCAAAGGTAATTCTGTATCCCACTTCTGGAATAATGTTGCTATTTGTTTAAAACAGAGACTTTCACTTCAGGCCAGTTTCCAGGACAAAAATTAACCACCTGAATCTACCAGGGCCATTGAAATGCTGACAATCTGCACTTTATTCTCCCCTCACCACACACCAGGAGTCAATTTTGCATTAAAACAAAGCATACACTCCCTGTGCACCTTGTCTTTTTTTGCAACAACTATCACTAAAACTTGACTTCAGGGGTTGAATAAAGGTTGTCGCTACCCCACGTTACCCACCCCTAATTAAAATGAATGGATAACTCTTTAGGAGTATTTACAAGCTACAAGTAAATTGGGACAATTTCATGAAGATGCCTGTCATCTTAAAAGTTCATTGTACTACTAAGGAATTGAAATGTTACATGTGCATGTATTCTGATGTACAAGAAAAGTCCATGAAATCAATGCAAATATATTTAGATGAGAGATGGGCAACCTGTTCCCCTCCAGATGCTGTTGGACTTAACTTGCATCATCAAGAATCACTGATCATGCTCAATGAGGAGACAGGAATCATAGCCTGACAATGTCTGGAAGGCATACATATTCCTCTCTAGATTTAACTCAATACTATAAAGATCTGCAACTAAAGAAAACTTCAGCTAAAATAAGCAGTGAATATTTTCCTTAACTACAGAATATCAAAAACTGTTACCACTTACCTAATGATTAATTCAAACTGAAAAGTTAGTAACTCACAGCAAAAAGTAAATATAAATTTAAGAACCAAGTTGTTTAATTGCAACCTCAATCATTAATGCCTATCAATACTTTAAGTATAAAAATATATTATTATTATAATTCTGTTCCAGAAAAGTATGCATTTTCAAACATATCACCAAACTCTGAACATGACACTAAGGTTTTGTATTATCAGTTTTCTATATTCAGTATTTATAGCTCTAACCTTATGGAATGCAAACAAACACATTTCAAAGTTTAAATTTAATGCATCTACTGTATCACATGTAAATTCTGTATTGTTCTCAACTCACAAGGTATCTTGTTCTTGTCCAAAAAATTATTAATTGCTCCACAACTACACTTTCCCAGTTATAGTTACTTGATTTTTAAAAATCCTCCAGAACAATTAGTGTTCCTGCATTGCCAAAGCTATAGAGAAGATTCTTAGGGTGTTTCAAGCTTTCCTGAGCATGCCTAGCAGCAGTTCAGGATATGTCCTGAAGCGTACAAATGGTTGCAGGTTCAGGCCCAAACCCTAGCTATAATATCTCAGGCAGGAGGCCTGGGAAACACCTTGCCCTGCTATTCTAGACAAACCGCTGCCAGTCAACCTAGACAACAGTGGTGTAGACAGAGTAATAATATGAATCCTTATAAGGAAAATTCATCTGTACATATGTTAATGTGCAATTGGTGTACACTGGTATCTGTAGATCAGGATAGCACTGCAGGAAGGGTTGGAAGAAAAGATTTGATGTCAAACAGGTGCCACAACTATACAACTTTTAGAATGCTTCTGTATCATCAAGTCTAAACATTTACACATTTGCAGGCAACCTCTTCAGAGAGCAGGAGATAGGGGCTATAATAAAGTCAGGCTCTTGCATCTGGTTCAGGAAATCCAGAGGCTTCTCAAAAAACCTGAACTGAGAGTAAATTCAGGGTAGACCTAGATAATAGTTTCCTGGCAAGTTCACCATAAAATGTGCCATCTTGTAAACCTTTTATGTTTAAGGAGGTGTCCTATAAATCTGTATAATGAATCCCAATAATCTAGTTTGTACATCTCAGTAAGTCACTATTGATCAATTCAGCTGCAGGATCCTGCACTGCATGCTGGCTGCCATTCTGAATATGCAAGTTATGATGAGGTCACACCGTGGCTTGTTGCATTATGCAACAACCCATTTTGGGTTACTTGAGAGTTAAACAGCCCTCAAATATATAAAAACAAATGCCTAAAATAAACTTGATCAATGGTGGCCAATGTGCATGTTGGAGCCCTGTAGGTGAATAATCCAGAGTAGCTTATTGTGATGTGTGCACCATATATAAGTGCACAAATATAACTAGGCTACAATACAAGCAAAGTTCCATGTCATAAATAATTTCTGCAAGCATATGTATGCAATGTTTTTATTTTAAATGAATTTTTTCAGAGCTCCAACATATGGGGAAATATATCCCTCAAGCATTACTTGTTGGAGGTGCACATAAAGACATGTTTCATGTTATTAGGGCACCAACAATGGAAGAGAACCGGACTTTTAAAAAGCATAAAGATATTATTCCTCTCAGTGACAGAAACCATATAGAGGTGGGTACATATTGGGAGAAAATGTATAATGCATATATAGCTTTCTGTTGAATTTTCTGCATCTTTTCTCTATACAAAAACTAGCTCTTAAGTTGTATAAGGTGTACATGCCTGAATTAGGTTACATATGTAACATATGTATTTTGCTCTGATATCAAAGGTAAAATTGTAAACATTTTCACCTCTAATCCTGTATACTGTATTTCTCCACATGGTAGAGTTTATAAAGGTATTCATTGTATATAATTAAGCAAAGTAACATGTATTTATTAATACATACATGTACAAATAAATACACTCATCTATGGAATATTGGAAATTGAGGTTGATTACAGATGTGTCAATGAATTGTAAGGTCTGCCAATGAGAACTGGTAGAATATTGAGTACTATATTGCTACCATCACTTAACTCTAACAACCCATGGGCACAATCTATTGGGAAGTTCTCCTGTACACATCCCACTGAAATGACATGAATCTGCCATCTGTCAAACCCAAATATGAACGGTTTTTCCATGTGTTAAATGCTTGTGCTTTATTGTTAAATGTATAAAAATGCTATTATCATTGTTGCTATTACCTTGCTACACCAATGCAATTATGCCCATGGAGTAAATCAAATAAGCCAACTTAAAGTAATTTTCTTTTTACTGAATGAGCAAATCAATCACACAGCAGTGTTGAAAATTTATGTGCAAAAGCATTGAAGTGCTTTACTAAAAATTACAACATAGAAACACAGTAACAAATTCATACAATCAGATTTAGAAATATAACAACACAAAGAGGAAACAGAATTACAGTACATTTACAACACAAGACAAATACATGGAATTCATTAGAAAATATTGTAATAAATAATTCATGAATTATAGTGCAATTGATTTATGCATAAATAGAACTAATTGCCTAGAAATCAGTTATTAACAAAATCTGTCAAAAATCAAGGCAGCCACAGAGTTTTACTAAATTACTGCAACAATGGAAATACTGCAATTAAAAAAACCCACAAATACAAGTATTTGTACTGTAAACAACTAAAAAAAATCAGTCTCACTAAAGTTAATATACAATTTAATTTAATATAAAATAGTCATTAGCTACCAGAAATGGTTTAAACAACTTTACTGAGCAGTAGTTCTAAAAACAGAGGCACTGTTTTTTAATATAAAATACTTGAGAAACATTCAAATAAGTAGAAAGCATGTAGGGTTTGCTTTCACCTTCATTTAAAAGTCTGCTGAAATATGAATTTTCAGACAATTGTCAATTTCTAAGTAGCAACTGGTAACTGAATTTTAAAAGTACTTCAAAATTATAATTTAAACAACCTTTTAAATGAGTACATTAGGGATGGATTAGGGGAGTTATGTATTTCCCTGCCTTTCCTCAGTTGTATAATTAAAGGTTCAGCCTATTCATTAGAAATAATTACGTTTCTTTTTAAAACGTACAGGTTGAGCATTATCTACAAACTATCAAAAAATATTTTAATATACTATTTCTGGCCAAAAATAAATACAAGTACTAAAATGCTGAAAATTAATTATAATATTACA